GGGGGGGGGGGGGGGCAGAAGATCAAAGTGACTAAAGCTGATGTATCCTGTGTCAGAGCTCAAATGCCTCTGAGAGGCATTGAACAGCCCTTCAAAAAGCAATAGCAGCCACCTTTATATCCAGCCTGTGCCTGTCATCAGGCTTGCCTGTGAAGCAAAATCAATCTGTTTCATATCGGAGATACCAGGGGAGAGGGAGAGAGTGTGTGTATGTGAGTGTACAATCTGTCCCCAAAGCTCTTTTTAATGACACATGCTGCATAACAGAGCAAGGATAGAAAAGGGTTCAATAAGGCAAACATGCTGCTTTCTGGAGATGAGGACTAATATAAAAAGGCTCAGATGGTACAGAGGGAGTTGTCAATCAAACATATTTTAATTTCTTTCATTTCAAATTCCCTTCCTTTTCTGCTCAGCGTGGACACACTTGCTTGGGCAGAAGTCCTCACTAGCAAAACAGCCTTGGTACAAGAACCACCCAAACAGCAAGCCAAAGAATATTAGCACACAGTCAAAATCATGTGGTTGGCAATGTTTACAAGCACTTACGGCGTCCTCATAAATTCAGAAATGCACCTTTTATCAGGCAGCACACTGTTCATTTAATGATAACCCACATTATTAATTTAACTAGGCAGCATGTCAATCAGGTGACCCGTCCAGGAGATTCCTTCTAATCCATGACCGCATGCAGATTGAAATGATTTAAAAAAGCATCTAGAAGAACTATTTAATCACATTAGCACCATAGACTTAATAACCACTGACTGAAATCCCTTGTGGAGGAGGTTCCTTGAGGTTTAGAAGGTCTCTTCCTTTGTTTTTCTTTGTACAGGTGTGGTGACCTTTCAACCACTTAATGAGATTACGAGCATAATTAGAACTGGAGCCACTGAGGGTCCCAACAGTCAACCCACTTGAACTCGAGAGAATAACTAGTGTCCACCTGGGTGCCACCTCGGAATTAGAGAAAGTAATGTAATTAAGTCCTAACGCATGGATCCTCAACTACCCTAGGGACTAGAGGACGTGCCCATGAAGAAAAGGCAGCATTAGCTCATACAGCTTGCAAGCACTGCCTAAAGCAATAGCAAGTCTGTCAAAGCAGGACACTCTAGGATTGGCAAAGAAATCCCCGGCAACCATTAAAGTCACAACAGTGTTGGATTGCTCCTGGGGTGCTACTCTGAGCTGTTCATTTAGGATGATGTGCAACTATTGGGCCTGGCCTAAGCACATTCTCCATCTCCAACATGGTCACCGAGAGGAAGGCAATAAGGGATCTAAGGAAACCCAATGGGTGCCTAGGGACCGCTAAGGCTGGCCACTCACAGAGAAGTCCAAAGACAGCAACGTGTCAGAGTCAATGCGAACACACACCTCTACAATGGCAAAATCAATGGGGTTTTATGAGGCATCAATCTCCTCTACAAAGGCCTGCTTATCTACTGCTGGGATGGACCACTGGATGTGGGACTTTGACATTCACCATTTTCCAAAAATTGCCAGGGAAGGTTTTTTTTAGATTTTGTTGACCCATGCCTGATGGTTTCTCTCATTCCCTTAAAGATTCTTATGTCTGCAAGGTGGTCAAATTGGGGGCATTTTTTTAAAAATTCATTGATTTTTATAATTCCTTTGGAATGACAAAAGAAGTTGTCCATTTAGATCAGGGAGGGGCAACTCTACTCTTGGAGGACCACTGCAAATTTTAGTTCCAAATCTAATCAAACACACTGAATTTTCAAATACTGAAGACTTTGTTCAGGTGTGTTTGATTAGGGATGAAACTAAAGTCTGCGGGACAGTAGTTTCACTACTGCCAATGCCCGGTTAGGACCATCAAATGAAAAAACAGAGCTAGAAAAATACCCATTTTGCTCTCTTTTACACCTTTTCGAGATCATTAAATCCTCCACCACAGGATGTTTGCGTGAGCGATTCCAATAGACAGATCTATTTACAGTAAACAGCAGATTTCATGCTAGAGACCCAGAATTAAGGGTCTTGGCAAGCGTCCTGCAATATAATTGATTGTTAGACAAGTTGTGCATCCTCAGCCAACCTCGCTCTACCTTCCCCCCAACATATATCCCTATGGCATTTACACCTTTTGTTTACAATATGCCCCTTGATTTGACCAGACATCAAGTTGGGGGTCTGGGGCTCAGGGCTCCCGTTTCAATATCTAAGCTAATTACTTTTTAATTTACAGTGTGTCGTTAATGGGTTTGGCAGGGGGGGCAAGGTTAGACAGACAGCAGAAGCCACTTCCCTTCCGTTCACTAGCACCATGGCCTCCATAATTAAAATTAATAATCTGGGCATCCATCAGATAGACGGAGAGTCAAAGAAAGAGAATTGTGAAGATAGGAAGGAAGGAAGGCCCTGCTGAAAATTTCCATGCAGGGTTATAGTCGTTTAGCAGGTGGGTCTGTTTTTGACCAACATGATCCTTCAAGAACTAATTGACGGAAATAATCTAAATGTCTAGTGGGTTCATCAGTATACCAGGATCTCATATAGGGTTCCAGCATCCAAAACACAACAAACATAGGTGGCCAGTTTTGCTGATATTTTCAGCAGGGAGCAAGGCAAGCAAGTTCATGTATGTTCATACAAAAGATACATCAAGAAAAAAAAAGAACAAGACAACTACCTCCACGGCTCTCACTGTCAGCTGGCTTCACCTGGATGGGGCGAGTCATCTGGAAGAAGAAAAACAGTACAGACAAGACAAAGGGTTAGTTCAGGAACAGGCAAGCGCTGTCACCACAATAAGCCAACAGCCTCAAACTATTGAGCCTATGTCCGTCACAAAAAAATCCTGTCTAAGTTTGGATCAAATGCAAAGATCCACATGTCGGTTTGCAGGGCACATACAAAATACAAGAGTGGTGATTTGTACCATCATGCCTTCACGTTACTCGCACGCTGTTTCTATTTTTGAAGTGCTGCATAGCTACTCCAGGCACAGCTCTTGTTTTCTCCATCTGAAATAGAAGTATTTGCAAATATCCTGTGTTTGCATTGACTACCATTTTATTTAAGCATTCAATCAGCACCAGGGCATATGGGGACAAGGCCAAGTTTCTGAGTGTACCTCCAGACAAAACCCTAAAGACACCTCTGATTTATTATATTCAGGTAAGTCGGTTCACTCAGAAACCATATTGCTAACACTCCAGGCAACTGTAGGTACAGCGCGCATCTACTTATACAGGTAAAGACTGAAATCCCAAAAACTTTTCACCACAATTACACTTCAATGACACATTCCAAATCAGGAATCGAATACAACAATAGTGGTATCTTAAAATTAGCTTCTAAAGTCCATCTCCATCTCTGAAAAATCTCTGGTCTCATTAGCAACCTTTTTTTTGTGTTTGCTTCGCAGTGCTCGATTGGTTACAGTCTCTAGCGATGGTGGCAAGGAGGAAGTGAAATGCAACAACAATTAAAGTGGAGGCAGCCACGAGAGAGAGAGAGAGATCAATGAAGCCCTATTGATTCCTGCCCCTTAGGCTGTGGAGAGTGTCTGGCAAGGAGGGATTCTGTGGGTAGAAGGCTCACGGTAATCTACTAAAGCCTGATAAGAATGGCATTTGTTGGATTAGATGCCTCTGTCATCACAGTTTTTGTGCTCCGTATTTCGCTCAACAACTTTTTTCCATTATCCCTGTAAAGGTTGAAGTTTGATTGGTTCTTATTCTACAAACTTGAGCAAAACAGAAAGAAAATATATATTGTTTGTTTGTTTTTCCTTCATTTGCCCATCTTTCAAGGATTCAAACGGATTTTTTAGATGACAAGGAATTTAAAAATTCCAGCCATTCTGTTTAGATGACAAGGAATTTTAGAAATATTGGTCAAAACACAAACATTTCCAAAGTAAATTATTTTTCAGTGAATTGTTAGCTATTTTAAATATCAGTAATTATAAATGTTTGGCAGAATTAAAAGGTGTTGAGGCTCATAAATGTGACGTACGGTGTTCTAAGCTGCAGGATCAAAGGATGTTCAAAGGGTTTTTTTTATTCTCCCATTTATTCCTACCTGGGGATGTAATGTAGAAAGGAATACTATAAGTGTGGACTATTGGAGCAGTAAAGCAACTTTATAAAGTGACTTCTTAATATTTTATGTCCTTTCTTTCAGGGTTTATTTTGGTTATTTTGAAGGTTCAAATGCACATTTGATTCATTAGCATACATGCTGATTAATATAGAGTTTTAAAGTTATGGTTACACTTTCTTTAATTGTTGAAAAACAGGACAGATCCTGTCCTAAAGGCCTAATTTACACTATAAAATCCATTCCCCAGCATCGTAATCCAATGGGAGCTTTCTATCAATCCAAAACAAACTGCTAATAGCAACAAAGCAGGCCCAGTTTGCATGAAAAAGGGCCAAGAGCTGTACGGAGATTTGCGACAAGATTACCCAAATTTGCGAAGTGCCCTTTGCAGGCTCCCCAGCCATCTGTAACCTGAAATTAAGCCTTTTTGAATGCTGCAGCAACTTTAGTTTCATGTCGACGCCAACTCAAGAGCCAGGGAAACGTTTCAGAGACAACAGGATCAACATTTTTTCTATCTCCTCAACATATTTTCTTTTACTGTCCAATTGTGTGTGTGGGGGGGGGGAGCAAACTGTAAAAGGTCAGTTTTAAAGACAGGCCAGTCCCATAAAAGCATGACTTGTTCAAGGAGAAACACCATAATGGGATTTTAAAACGTCTTAATAACATGCTGATATATGAGGAAGACGGCCAGGCCAGATTCATTAAGTGTTAAACGTATCCATTTTCACCTTGAGGAACTGAATAACCTTCCTCTGAGAAATTATTCCATAAATTTATCCATCGTAAATAATAACTAGCAGGGTCTAAGTCTTTGTGCAAAGGGGAAAAGGCAAAATATATCATTCTTTTGAAGGTCAGAGTTCAGTAGCTTTGTCATACACTTCAGTTAAAGGAAAAGTTAAAAAAAATAAATAAATTTGTCCATTTGAAATACATTATGACAACTCAGACATTTTCAAGCATAAAGACAAAAACAATCCAACAGGCATAATTGTGAGACATAACCATTCCAAACAAATCACCTGACAAACACAAACAGTGGCCCACATTAGACAAAACAGACACTTTTATAAACATCGCAATATGCATGCAACACTGGATGCAATGCCTGGTAATAAAGGAGATTCTCTTTTGCGAGGGAATGCATTCAGAACTACCTCATACCTGTAAACGCCATCAGTGAGATGTATTCCTAACACATTGGACTTTGGTGTAAGGTTTATGGATTCACCTCTCTACCTAGTCACTGTCCTGGTCATAAAATGCTGGTGTAATGGTACATTTGTTTTCCTAAGAGCAATGTGTTTCTCCCTTGTACATTTAGTATCGACGGAACTCAGTTTATTGGATTTTTCTCACCTCTAATGGAATGGCGTACACTTCAGGTACACACATTTACTCACTCACTCACTCACTCACTCACACACACACAAATTCACATATTTTGATTCCCATTGACTTCCATAGTATAGACTTCCATGGTGTGTGTGAATATATACTAAAACGACTAAAACTAAACCTGAATTAAAAAGAAGTTAAAGCTAAATGGAAATATTTACAAAAACTAATATAAATGACAAAAGAGCATAAAACTTAAAGGGTTAGTTCACCCAAAAATGAAAATTAGGCTGTTTTTTACTCACCCGCGAGGCATCCTAGGTGTATATGACTTTCTTCTTTCAGACGAATCCAGTCGGAGTTATATTAAAAATTGTCCTGGCTATTCCAAGCGCTATCATTGCAGTCAGCGGGTGTTGCAGTGCTTCAGTCCAAAAGAAGTGAAATAAAAAGCGCCCATCCATAAAAAAAAGTGTCTCACATGGCTCCGGGGGGGGAACAAAGGCCTCCTGTAGCAAATCGATGCGTTTTTGTAAGAAAAATAACCATATTTAAAATGTAATAATCAATTTAATCTAGCTTGCGCTCACTGTTGTACACTGGAAGCAGTTCCGGGCGGATGACGTAGGATGTCGGCGTTGTGCATGCGCCGCTCAGAAGTGACGAACGCGGAAGTGCAGGGGAGAGATCAAAACAAAACAACGGTCACTAATTAGAAGTACAAAACGAGGATTTGTAAAGAAGAATGTCAGAGAATTTCGATATAAGCCAAGAGGAGACTTCCAACAAACGTTGGTTTTCACGAGACTCATGCATGCGCAAAGCCGACCTCATACGTCATCAGCCTGGAACTGCTTCCGTGTACAACTATTGGCGCAAGCTACATTAAAGTGATTATTACGTTTTGAATATGGTCATTTTTCTTACAAAAACGCATCAATTTGCTACTGGAGGCCCCCCGGAGCTGTGTGAGACACTTTTTTTATGGATGGGCGCTTTTTATTTCACTTCTTTTGGACTGAAGCACTGCAACATCCGCTGACTGCAATGATAGAGCTTGGAATAGCCAGGACAATTTTTTATATAACTCTGACTGGATTCGTCTGAAAGAAGAAAGCCATATACACTTAGGATGTCTCGAAAGGTGAGTAAAACACAGCCTAATTTTCATTTTTGGGTGAACTAACCCTTTAAACATTAACATGAAAATTGAAAATATAAAAATAAATAATACTATATAAATAATATTTTGTAAAAACTGATATTAACATATAACTACTTGAGACAACATTTATTTCTGTCCGAGTATAAATAATAAGTAAATAAATAAGATTACTTATTAAATCAAAAGCATTTAAACTATATTTTGGATGTGGCTGCATCACTGCTGCAAACAATTTAAAAAGTGGTGAGGACATAATTGACAAAGGCCATCCTAACCATAAATGACCTCTCTGTTTACATTTACATGCGCCAGAAACAAAACAACCGGCAGCTGACAAACTTGTGCTGTCGTCAGGGAAAGCATTCATTTAGCTTGAGTCCTGAGAGAGTTCACTACGCCTCTCCGCTGCTTTTGTGCCTTTATTGCCCAAGCGTTCTTTACTCATAAGATAAAACGAATGAGTTCGCCTTATGCTGTGTTCCTTGCAGAAAACAACTACACGTGTTCTAATTGTGATAGATTCAAAGAGGTTTCCACACTCGGAATGGCGAATGCACCAAGGTCCAGGACAAAAACAGAGGGATGGAGGGGGCTGTAAAGGATGGAAGGCAAAGGAGAACTGCCTGCAACTGCCAGATAAGATTGCTTCTCAGTTGAGTGGCATTTCCAGAGCCGTGACTCCACCCTATTGCTCCCCCACATATGCTGATAGACTCATGCTGGCGGAAATGCACACTTATACGTTTCCCGCCCGCAGCAAAAGCACCGGCATCCCTGTGTTTGCCAATCTGTTGTTTAAACTCAGTGGAACAATTCAAATCCCCACGTCCCAACAGGACTGTGTCAGTTGCATCTCGTTTGGGATGCACGCGATCCTCCGGTCCCCAGCAAGCCCGACCGGCGAGTATGGAAACGCATTCTTCGGGATTTCTGACGTAGCTACGGGAGCAACTGTCTCTTTGTCCTTGTCATCTGTTTCTTTAAGCACACAATACTTGATAATCATGTTGTTTGCTGTGCTGCTGTCTTTCAAAAGGGGGAGCTATCAAACAGGGTAAACAAAATACAGTGGGGGATATGAAACAGCCATTCTCCTGAGAGACAGTCTGTTCTCCTGTAGTG